TTAAATTCTACAATCACTTTTTTTAAAAATATTTTAAACTTTTTTTGGAACATATACCCGCTTATTGCGCCACTTATTGGTAAGTAAATTACCTCAGTTAATAGTTTGTTTGAAAAAGAGTTAACACCACCTCAGTTTATCGAGACTGTGATTCGAACAGTAGTTTAAAGATTTTTAAATAGATATGAGTTTGTAATGAAGCGGTTTGTTGCAAAATAATTGAAATAAAATGTTTATGCCTAAAAAGACATTTCTTGTCTGTCAATTTCAAGCGAGTGGTCTCATTTATTTGATTTATTGAGTATCTTTAGTCTAAAGTAACCGACATTTTTGGCGCCCCTGGGTTGGCTTAAATGGAACAACAAAAGGAAGCTAGAAAAGTTTAAGAATTATGGCTCCACCAAATATTGAAGCTCATTACAAGGAACTTTTGAATCCTATTACAGATCCTGAGAAGTCCTTCAGTGTCACCATTGCTGAGCTGCTGCAAGATTAGTTAGCAAATTTGGTTCGAGGAAGAGAGCCCCCCCCCCAAATTTTAATTCAGTTGCTTTGCTGCTTCAAGGAAGTTCTTGTATATATAGTAAAAGGATGGAGTACATATTCGACTTGGCAAATCAGTTACATCAGAAATTAACAAAGCAATAAAAGGCTGAGCAACAAAATAGGAAAGAAACTGCCAAAGAAAAAGAAAGACAAAAAGAAAAATTAAGTGATCCGTTTTTGTGTACTGAAATCAAACTTGGCAAGAATTTAAGTTGCTTAAAGAGAAAGAATCCCCCCCCCAAATGCTGTAAATAAACGACCCTGTAAGAAGACACAGCTTATGAAAAGTGTATTTGTACCTGTGTTGCTGTTAGCTTTGGAAGATGATGAAAAAGAGGATGTTATCTTTGATACAAATGAAGAAATTAGAAGATAACATTTCTATGCTATTTTATGCACACAGTTATATGCTTGTCTTGTACATGGAGGACGAAGAATTAAATGCCACAGATATCAAACAGGAACAAGCAAAACGAGAAGAAGCATTACACAACTTACAATCATAGTAGCAAGTGACAGATGTGCTGGAGATTAATATAACACAGGAAATTCTGGCTTTAGCAAAAGAAAGAGAAAATCTGATAAAAAGGAATAAATTCTACAAGAAAAATTATCAGTATTCATTAAGGGATAAGCTGAAAAGGATTATTTTCAGAAAATAGATATACCTTTGGATGCAGACGAAGGAACATTCCATGAAGTTTTGGGTACACAATTTCCATCCATTAATCAACTGAAATAACTTTGAACAGAAATTTCAATTTTCTTTTTAATTCATAAAAATATTTTAATCTGTGCTATGCAATAATTTTTCTGAAAGAAATAATATTTAATCCTTAAAATAAATGTCAGATTATTTATTCTTAAAACTTATAGTAAATTAAATAAGAAATTATACATATGATGACTTTTTTGAACAGGAGATATAGATACCAAATTGAATGAAATGATTATCTTTCATGAGCAGAGTAAAAGTCAGCAAGAAGTTTTAAAAGAACAAATAAATGAAACAGAAGAAATTTTGGAAGAATTAAATGAGAAATTATGTCAGATAAAAGAAACAGTGGCCCTCCAATCCATAAACAGCAAAACTGGAGAATAATTTAGTGAAGAAGAAGTCAAAGAACATTTAAAGAAAGAAGAGGAAATACAGAAAAGTTTGCCAGAATTCCAAACTGAACCATTACAAAAAGACATACTTTAAATGTCCCAACAGAAAAGACGAAAAATTTGGCTGATGCAACTCTTGATTTTGCAAAATATGAACTGATCTAAAGAAACTTAAGATGCAAATATTCTGATAGTACTGTAAAAGTGCAGCTACTCCAAGCTAAATCAAGAATAACTCCTCCTTAAAACAGCTTGATTAGACAAAAAGGTCAAAGAGAATTCAAAGTTAGTCAAATCAAATGGAAGTTCAACCCACCATCTGCCCCATGGTGGGGAGGATTCTGGGAAAGACTAATCGCATATTTAAAGATCTCAGAAAAAATTTAGGACGTTCATCTCTGACTTACAAAGAACTCTTGACTCTTGTCTGTGAATTTAAATCAAGTATGAATAATAGATCTTTGACATATGTATCAAAAGAACCAGAATAAAAAATTTTGACACCATCTTCATTCCTTCAAGATCTTCCTACCAATGATGTATCCCTTAGAAGTTACCGAACATTCGAATAACGTGAACATTAACTTGAAATAGACATTTTATATTTTGAATATTTCATGTATTTTAGAAAGTTTACAATTAATTTTTATATTTTGTTGATTTTTCTTCCAAAGGTTCAAAAACTCAAAGTGGGGAGAATGTTGCTACACTTATAGTAAGTAAATTACCTCCGTTAATAGTTTGTTTGAAAAAGAGTAGTAACGCCTCAGTTTATCGCGAGACTGTAATTAAAAGAGTAGTTTAAAGATTTTTAAATAAATATGAGTTTGCAATGAAGCGGTTTGTTGCAAAATAACTGAAATAAAATGTTTATGCCTAAAAAGAAAGTTCTTGTCTGTCAATTTCAAGCGAGCCATCTCATTTATATGATTTAATGAGTATCTTTAGTCTAAAGTAACCGACACCCGTACTGAAGGTGATTTGTTATTACTGAGTGGCTTTAAATGCAATCTTTTAATGTAGTTAAATTTAGACTGCAAACTCATTATAATTCAGAATGGGATACTGTAATAACGATAATTTGAGCTAACTTCAGGAATATATATATATTTAAAATATCATATATGGATATAGCCAAATTTAGACTTGATAAGGCCCTAAGCTATTTGAGATATGAGGCCCTTTATAAATCTGTTATAATATAATTTAATACTTTTTATACTATATTTTAATTTGGGGTGGCCAAGAAAGTAGGGGACCTAAGCTATAGCTTTTGTAGCTTATACGTAAATCCGGCTCTGTACTTACCATAAGTGGTAAGCAGACATAGTGAATGCTAAAACTGCATAAGGGATTTTTGAAAGGATATCCAGTATGAAACCAAAATACAGTCAAAAGTCGTTAATCTGGACTCGTCGGGACTTCGGCGATTCCGGAATATCGATTTTTCCGGATTATAGATCATCAGTTTAAATCTCGTAAGATGGCATGCAGAAATTCTAAAATTAAAAATATGAAACCGTAATTTATGAAATAAAGAACAATTATGATCTAAAGGGTATCAAAATTTACAAAAAAAAAAAAGCTTAATATTTATTTGTTTACTTTATTAAACATTTCTTTTAATGTAAGTTGTTTAAGTTGCTTCGTTTTATGTGATAATACTTTCTCTTTAATTCTATAAACAGACATAATTTCTTGTTTAGTTACAAAGTTCCGCTGTTCATGTCCCGTAATTGCTGTGCCGAGAATACCGACTAACTTGTCAAATGAAATTTTTTCGTTTTCACTAACCTCTCTGTCACCTTCTTCATGTCTTTATCCATTTTTTGCAGCAATTCCACTTTTTGTTTGATGGACATCGAAACATACTTTCGTTTTGTAGATCCTTTGGGAGCTCCAGCATCGGAAATTCTATTTGACATAATCGAAAGTTCAAGTTTACTTTTATAAAATTGCTCTTACAGTCTGCAAAAAATAATAAGCCGGATCCAATTCGAAGATTAAGGAACAACGCAATCATCAACATTAACTGAAATAGATAATTAGATAATTTTAGCTTATACCGTCCGTTATCCATAAAACGCACACGGGAAAACGTATCCTGCGCTTGCGCACACGCATATGCGCAGTCGCGAAGGTCTTACGCGCACGCGTAAACGCCTATGAGCATATGTCAACGCGGCGCATGCGCAGAAAGTTTTTAGTTTTGAGGTCCGGATTATGGGTATCCGAATTAACGACTTTTGACTGTATATATTGCTAATGTATAATATGGTATATTCTCAAGGTCAGTAGAGAGATAAGATTTGGCTCTTCCTAATGTTCAAGCTTAATGAATCACTTCACTTACAGAAATGGGAGAAATGAGGACATAATTACATTTAGTTTACCAAGGCAGTAGTTGTTTTGAAGCAAACTATGGCCCAGCGACTGTTAAAGTTTTCTAGTTGGAAAGGGAAAAAAAAAAAACCTTGTAATATGATAACCTTGGTATATACCAGGCATGTCGAAACTACAGCTCTTTGGTCTCTCAAATTAGCTGAAATTATAACAAACAGTTGCTTTACTTTTAAAATATTATTATATTTTGAAAGTGAAGCCCTACTATGACATGCTTTTCTAACAACTAGCAAATTAACCAGCACTCCCCTCCACCAATCTCATTTGCTGTGTTGTTTTCAATGGGTTAAAAGGCAAGAAAAATTGTTAGTTCTATTTTTCAAATTACTATGTTATTTTTTTTTATTCAAATGGATAATTTTTTACATTACTGTATTAAACATTCTTCCATTTTCATTTTGTTCTTATTAAAATCAGCTTACAATTAAGATCAGGGGAAAAGAAAAAAATTGCAAATTTGAAGTAAATGCTTGACTTTCTGTTTTCTTTTTTTTTTTTTAAAGGCAAAACTAAGTGCTCATGATCTGATATTTAATATGTCACAGAAATTTATTTTCCTGAGTACACAGCAAAAACAAGAATTATTTACGTATATGTATGTTTTTTAAAAAAAGCATTAATTGAAAACTGCAATATTGTTTTTAGTTTTTTTTTTTTCTTTGCCCTATTTAAAAACCATTTTAGAACTTTTCGAATTGTATAAACATATAGCTGCAAGGAAAATTTATCTGCAGCTCTCTGATTTTCATGGATTTCAACATATGGCTCTTAACATCCGACATGAAGTTTGACCATGCCTTTTATATACTAATATGTAATCAATTATATAATGTTGAACTTTCAAATGTAAAAAGTAAATTACTGTATCACATAAATGCAACAAAGTTAACAAAGACTTGAACTAAACACCATTCCAAGAGAAGAGATTGAGAATATCTTACCACTCCAGTCATTCATTAAAACCATGCCAAAAATATGGTCCTGAGCTTTGCTGATATTGATTGGTTCTCCAAGTTTTGAAGGTGTCCCAATGAAAAATCCCATTTCTAATTCAAAATCCATCAACTTGCAAGGTCCAAACTCAGGCGGTAGATCTTCGAATTCAGATTGCATATCAAATTATTATCATATCAATGTACATATAACAGAAATTTCGATTTAAACAATATTCAGAAAAATGAGCATTAATAATAATAATAATGATGATATTAAATATTAATTTCAAGGGAATTAGAATATAAATTTATATTTATTTTTATATGCAAGATACTTGGAAAAAATGTTTAGCTTTCACTTCATATACTATTGATTTTAAATGTATATTTTTAATTTTAAAAAAATTATATAATTTATAAAAACAGTTTTTAATGGAAAGCAAGAAGATGTCTGAAAAATAAAGCTTTTATATATAGTATGTAAAAAAGGGGGGAAGAGGAATAAAAAAAAGAAAAGGTATGTATAATTTCTTTCATGTACTCATCTTCTTAATTATTTTCTTATAATTTCTCATATAGAATGATAAAATTAACCAATTTTCTCTAAAAGTCTTTTATGAAAGCATCCTTCTGAAAGAAGAAATACTTTGTATGTTCAGAAATTTTAGAAGATTCTTCTGCTGAATTGTTTTGGTTCAAAATTTTATGAATGCACTGAAAATTCTCACTTGAATATGATTTTTAATAATTACTACTTTTGGTTTACAGGGAATCAACTAATTATCAATATAAAGCAAGCAGTTCTTTGTGTAAGCCATCACATACAAATTAATACCATAACAATGATGAGTCCAGAGTTTAATTTCTAAAATTAGAAGTACCAAAACCATCATAACATATGGACCTATGGTTGGCTATCATTATGATGAATAATAAATTAATATAAATAAAACAATCGCACAAAAAAAAAAAAAAAAAAAAAAAAAAAAAAAAAAAAAAAGAGCATTTAAAAATTAAATAAAATGCAAAAGCAAAGTTATGCCATTAATTCAAATAAAAATTATAAATATACAAATAATAGTATATGATAAATACTATACAAATTAAATGAACAATGAATGCTTTTAGAATCATCTTTTACAGAACAGTGTCTGTTTTTGGCAGATAAATTTATGAGATAACCAGGGCTGTTTATCTTGGGGATAAATACTTCAGGAATAAAATATGCTTAGTTAATAAGATATCTTCTAAGAGTTTAAGGCTAAGAATTTTGTATTTATAATGGCTAAGGAAGAAACTGAAAATGCACCTATGCCATCAATTTGTTCTCTTAGAAATGTAACCTAAAATAAAATACCAGAGGATAAGGCATAAAATCTACATGACTACATATGTACCATATGCCACATGTGCTTCTGATAATTAATTTTAAATTTAGGAAATTAAAAAAAAAAAAGAGAGAGAGAGAGAGAGATAACGAAAATAAATAAGAAAGGGGAAAAAGAAAAAAGGTGAAAGAAAAGTTCAGCATTATGTTTCCCTTTAAAAATAAATCATGAAAGCAATAACAATAGATTTTTAATCACAGTCATTCTTAACAATATACATTCAACTTTTTTAACCTACTGCATTATTATATAAAATGGTTTTTCAAAAAGCGACATAATTTTATGACAATATGTTGACTGAATAATGACTTCAATTATATAAAACTGTGGCTTTTTATTCCATAATTTGATTTAAAAGAAAGCAGTTTAGAATGCAATAATACTCCTGTATTCACATGCATTATGTTTCAAAGCTTAGCACAGATATGTGAAACTGAGGAGAATATTGAATACTATAGTTCCTGAGCTTATCTTATTTAGGGTTCTAGTGCCGGCTTCAGCTACACTAAGAACACTAAGAAACATCACGAATACTACGAAATACCACAAATGAGCTCAGGTGCAATTTAAGCACTAAGTTTGATTCATTTAATCTTAATTCCTAGTTCTAAGAAGGCAACTATAAACTCTGTTAACTAATACGAGTTCAAATCTTTTATTTTCAATTGCAGAACTTCTCAGAATAATATACAAAATGTTAAGCAAACAATATCAAGATTGTAGTTGGAAGGATCCTCTAAAAATGAAGTCTGACTTTTCATTTGGTCCCCTTATGGCATACAAAAAAGAAAAAAGAAATTACAACCAATTGCAAAACCAAATAAGCTATAAAAAACTCAATATACATGCACAATTCGTAAACATGTGCCATTAATTAAATATGATAGAAAGAAAACACATTTTCCAGATTCCGTTGATTCTTTTTGATAAAATTATTTCCTTACATTATTATAATTGTTCTGAACAACTTTTTAGATTTGATATTACATGTTTCAGCACTTAATAAAACATACACAATCAAAAGTCTTTAATCCGGACTCGTCGGGACTTCGGCGATTCCGGATTATAGATCATCAGCTTAAATCTGGTTAGATGGCATGTAGAAATTATAAAATTAAAAATATGAAACCATAATTTATGAAATAAAGAGCAATTATGATCTAAAGGGTATCAAAATTTACAAAAAAAGCTTAATAGTAATTTGTTTACTTTAATTAAACATTTCTTTTAACGCGCGCATGCATAAAGCATACATTGCGTATAGTCGAAATTAGAAAATTGCAACCAGAAAACTATTTGATGTGTACTCGTGATATTTATAATGACGAGGAATTTGATTTAAATCATATCAAAGACGGAATACATAGAGATGAAATACTACATTTAGTAAGGAATTATAAGCCGAATAAAATGAAAACATCTGCCCTGAAGATAAGGATAGTGCTGACAGATCAATTTCCAGTTCATTGAGCGCCGCGACGTTCCCCCCCTCCCGCGCAGAGCAGCGTGAAATTGATAAACAAATTTCGGAATGGTTAGAGAAACAAAGGAGCCTTTATCCATTTTTTGCAGCAATTTCACTTTTTGTTTGATGGACATTCAAACATGCTTTCCCTTTGTAGATTCTTTGACAGTTCCAGCATCGGAAATTTTATTTGACATAATCCAAAGTTTCAACTTACTATAAAATTGCTCTAACAGTCTTCAAAAAATAATAAGCTGGATCCAATTCGAAGATTAAGGAACAACGCAATCTGCAACATTAACTGAAATAGATAATTAGATAATTTTAGCTTAGCTAATACCGTCCGAAAATATTAAAAGAGCATGCACAAACGTATTATGAGCATGCGCGTAAAGGTATTACGCGCATGCGCAGAGAGTTTGTAGCTTTGAGTTCCGGATTACAGATCATTTCGGATTGTGGATGTCCGGATTAACGACTTTTCACTGTATAATGTCAAGATTTCTGACAGCCCTTTCATATAATTATTTGCCCATATAACAAACCTGAATTTTTTTAAATGCTGTAAATGCATTTTGGTTCCACCCTGAAAATTATTGTGCACAGCTGCAGATTTTCTTATTAGAAACATTAACTGATTATGGCAAAGTACACAAAGATCATCTGTTTTAGGAGGGCTATCCTGGTAGAAGACTTAAGAAAAAGGGGGGTATAATAGAATCTAAGCAAACAGACTAACTTGTATTCCATTACACAAATGAACAAAAACCATAAGAAACCCATTCCTTTAACAGGAACTGAGCCTGGAATAAACTGTCAGTATTCACTAATCTTATGCACTCAGCCACTGCTAATTGTAATAATTATGTGCATTGTAATGTTGAGAAACACATAATTATTTCACTCATTAGGTAAAACTAATCACTCATTCACATATTGGCCAAGACATGTCAAAATGAGTTATATTTGCAAATGCCTCTGCTTTTCCTAATTTCCTATTTTGCAGAGGTTACAAGTATCATTTATTCTGCCTTCTGTATAGCATTGTTCATCTAAATTCAACCAGTGTAATATTAATTTTCTTTTTAGTTTTGCTTGAGTGGCAACAGCTGTAAAATGTTATTATTTTGGTAAAACAAACTTGTTTGGTTGTGTTTAAATTTTTAGAGATATTATTTACATAGAAATAAATTGATGAATGGACAAAAATGGTGTACATTTACTGTCATATCTAACATTTGGTGACCTGGACGTGATTAAATATAAGAGGTGAGTACTTTATATAAGAAATAATTAATTGAATTTTGGTAGAATAAACTTGTTTGGTTGTGTTTAAAATTTTTGGGATATTATTTAGGTCGAAATAAGTTGATGAATGGACAAAATGGTGTACATTTACTGTCGTATCTAACAGTTTCACTGAACGGAAAACAACACACTTTTTTACTACAGTCAAAAGTCGTTAATTCGGACACCCATAATCCGGAATGATCTATAATCCGGACCTCAAAGCTACAAACTTTCTGCGCATGCGTCGCGTTGACGCATGCACGTAAGACCTTTACCGCTGCGAGTTTGCGTGTGCGCAAAATACGTTTACGAATGCGCGTTTAATGTATAACGGACGGGATAAGCTAAGCTAAAATTATCTAATTATCTATTTCAGTTAATGTTGCAGATTGCGTTGTTCCTTAATCTTCGAATTGGATCCGGATTATTATTTTTTGCAGACTGTTAGAGCAATTTTATAAAAGTAAGCTTGAACTTTCGATTATGTCAAATAGAATTTCCGATATATATTTACTAATATGTAAAGGATATACAAAGCGAAAGTATCTTTCGGAGTCCATTAAACAAAAAGTGGAATTGCGTCAAAAAATGGATAAAGGCATATCCTTTGTTTATCTAAACTTTGTTTATCTTTGTTTAACTAAACTTTGTTATCACGCTGTGGTGGCGTGCAATGAATTGGAAGTTGATCTGTCAGCACTATCCTTATCTTAAGGGCAGATGTTTTTATTTTATTTGGCTTATAATTGCTTACTTAATGTAGTATTTCATCTCGATGTACTCCGTCTTTGATATGATTTAAATCAAATGCCTCGTCATTATAATTCGCTTCCGATAGCGAAGAAAGTGACAGAGGTTATTGAAAACGAAAAAATTTCGATTGACAAATTAGTCGGTATTCTCGACACAGCAATTATAGGACTTGAACAGCGGAACTTTGTAACTGAACAAGAAATTATGTCTGTTTATAGAATTAAAGAGAATGTATTATCACATAAAAAACGAAGCAACTTAAACAACTTACATTGAAAGAAATGTTGGTACTATTCCGTTTTGAGGACCGTAAAAAACTTGCAGTGAAAATGTATGCGCAAAAGCGCAAATCTAGCAAACACACCCATTTAACAGAGCGCCAAATCTAGCGTACGTGCCGATTTCAGATTGCGTAAGTTTATATAAGTTTATGTAGTTCTATATTTCTTAAGACGCCATTGAAATACTAGTTTAATTTTTAAATCCTTTTTTGATATCCTATTTAACAACTTGTGAATTGCCCGTGACGAAAAGTCTGCAATAGAATTTTGAGTAAAGTGCAGAATCACCCACTGCTTGACGCGTTTTTAAGAATTGCGTATACTCGGTATCCATGTACACATCGACCTATTTTCACTTTAAAAAAAATCCTAGAATTGCACAAAAACGGCACTGCGCACACCCTTGACTTTATCTATGTACACATCGACCTATTTTCACTTAAAAAGTAAAAGAAAATTGACAAAAATCCAATTGTTTTTATCTGTGTAAAAGCGGCAAACACGGTCTGTTTTAAGACAGACACTTGAAACAGTGGGCGATTCTGCACTTTACCGAGAATTTTTTCATAGAAAAGGCATCATTCATTATAGAAAATTATGTTTGAACAACCAACGAGATGAAATTATGCTTTAGCGATAACTCGATAGCGATGCAGGCATCCATGCAGTTATGTTTAGCAATTTTTATAAAAATGATCTGAAATAGTTATTTACTCTTATATTTCCATTCAGTCATGTTTAGCTTTTTTTAATATAAATTATAATAATAAAAAAGTATTATACGAAATTAACATTTCATCTAAATTAAAACATCAATCTTAAATAGTTATTTACTATTATACTTCCTTTCTTACATTAGGGTTGCCGCAATTATTTTTGGCAGCACTGGCATCAACAATAGTTTGGCGACTTTTTACGGCCCTCAAAACCGAATAGTACCGAAATGTTTAATAAAGTAAACAAATAAATATTATGCTTCTTTTTGTAAATTTTGATACCCTTTAGATCATAATTGTTCTTTATTTCGTAAATTACGGTTTCATATTTTTAATTTTATAATTTCTGCATGCCATTTTACCAGATTTAAACTGATGTTCTATAATCCGGAAAAATCGATAATCCGGAATCGCCAAAGTCCTGACGAGTCCGGATTAACGACTTTTGACTGTATACCAAAAATCAACTCAAGATCAAAAGATGAAAAATAATGTACATAATTATTATAACTAATGATAACTTCTTTATGTTAAGTTAGTCATCATGGCAAAACATTTGAGAGTTTTTGCTTTATGAAAGATACCTTCATGCAGGACTGTCCAAGAGAAATTGATTAATATCCATTTGGGATGGACATGGGAAAAATCATGGAAGCCCTATGCAGTCAGGCTGTTCAGTCAATAGAATATATCTAAAATGAACTATCATATTCACTGGCCTTATTTAATTAGTCATTTGAGGGCCTTCTTATTTTCAGTTAAATAAATAAATATTGAAGCTTAAAAAAAAAGAAAAGATTTTGCCACTTCTAGTACCTAAAAGCAAAACAAAAGTATTATACAATTAACAGATTTAAAATTTTAGGTTTTTAGCAATAGTTCTGAACATAGAGCTTTAATTTATAATAATTTAATATCTATTCTTTACCCATTTGTGTGTGTGCTTGGAAGAATCTCTTATTCTCCCAAATAATATTAATTGAAATATTGGATGTACTTATAGTTTATGACATGCCCATCATCTGTCCACCAGCATCAGACATTTTGTTATCGAAACTTAGTGGTTAGGAAGAAATTCCAGTGTAATTTGAGTTTGAGAAAGATGTATCATATTTACTTATGTACTCTCCCCCCTTAACTAGTTTTACTGTACAAAAATCATGAAGGGAAAATTATGGAAAGAATTTAATTTCTGAAGGACATGGTTACAACAAGAATATAACAAATGAAAAGTGTTCATGGATAAACTATACAGTACAAAGTCCGTAATCTGGACGTCCATTATCCAGAATGATCTATAATCCAGACCTCAAAGCCACAATTTTTTTTTTTGGTATGCTTTACGCATGCGCATAATGTGTTTATGCATGTGCGTATTGCACTTATGCATGTGCATTTAATGTATAACAGATGGTATAAGCTAGGCTAAAATTATCTTTACTGATTCTAAGGCATTTCAGTTAATGTTGCAGATTACGCTGCTCCTTAATCTTCTAATTGGTTCGGCTTATTATTTTTTGCAGACTGTTAGAGCACTTTTATAAAAATTAAGCGTGAACTTTCGATTATGTCAAAAAGAGTTTCCAATTCTGGAGCTGCCAAAGGATCTACAAAGCGAAACCATGTTTCATGTCCATCAAACAAAAAGTGGAATTGCTGCAAAAATTGGATAAAGGCATATCCATCTCAAAATTATGCGAGGAGTATGGCATTGTATGACACAAGAAAAAAGAAAAAGGAACTTTTTGAATTTTTTGTGGAAGCATCTTAAACAACTTACATTGAAAGGAATGTTTAATAAAGTAAACAAATAAATATTAAGTTTTTTTTTGTGTGTGTGTAAATTTTGATATCCTTTAGATCATAATTGCTTTTTATTTCATAAATTACGGTTTCATATTTTTAATTGCATAATTTCTGCATGCTATATTACCAGATTTAAATTGATGATTTAATAATCGCGGAATCCCGACGAGTGAAGTCCCGACGAGTCCTTTGTCCTGTATTATTATTGATTTTTACTGAAATTATTATTGGAATTGATTATTCTTTTGGAAAAAAAATATGATTTAAAGATATATTAAGTAATTTCCAATACATTTACACAGTTAAATTAACATTAGCAATAAGATATCTTCATTTCTACTTCCCTTATCTTGAATCTTGCCTGGCCTTATTAATGCCCACTGCTCAAACCATATTTAGGGTTTTCAGTGCCCAGGGGCAACTGAAAATATCATGCCCCTGCCTGTTTGACAAGAAAAAAATATTTCATTCTAAAATTTTATAAAATTAATTTAGCCTTCCCTGAATACTGCACCCTGGGACAGGTCTTCTCTTTTACTCCCCCTAGTTACGCTATCACCACTCCTACAGCCGAGGAATATAACCATTTAATGTTGTTGGAAATGCTATCTGTGTCATCTACTATAGTTTGTTGTCATCATCTTCATCAGCATTCAAGTCAGTCTTCCTACATGCAATGATCTTCAGAACCATCACAAGCATTAGATATCCCCATTTTCTTAAAGCTCTTCATTATTATTGCTTCATTAAAAGAGCTCAAGCACCCAAAATGAATGAGTACATCAATTAGTAAGGCAAAAGCAACTACTACTTGAATGAATCGATATTAAAATTTGTATTCTGAATGTCTTGAGCTTTAAAATTTTTTTCAGAACCTTGTGCTATAAAGGTAAAGGCAAAAGAGTGAATAAATACAATATTTGACTTTTGCCTTTAAAATAATAATAATAATAATAATAATAATAATAATAATAATAATAAAATCTTTGCAGAAATTTTGCTTAAAAAATAATAAAATGTGCTTATAAAATGATTCTTAAAATAAAATAAACCATACTGTCAACAGGTCTTGTTTGTCCATTAGGTCTTCTAATTGGAGTTCCAGAAACTACAATTGAAGAAGCTCGACCATGATAGGCAACAGGTAAATATTTCCTGTCCAAAATCAAAACAGCTTTAAATTAATTATGTAAAAAATATGTAAATTTAAATTACAGAAGTACCAAAAAATAAAACAGAATTAGAAATAAAGAGAATAACATTTGAAGAACCAAATAAAATAATTGGTTATATAACAAGTGAAAGCTCAGAAAAAAGGCTACACTGAAAGAAGAAAGACTGCTGCTTTACACCTGATGTAGAGAATAAAATAATTGGTAATGTAACAAATAAAAACTCAGAAAGTACAACACAATTCTTCTATAATTAATACCAGTATCTCATGCAGAGTCTCTCTCAATAAACTGTAGTGCTGAAAGTTGCTAGAGTTCATCTCCATTTTAAAATAAAAAACTGGATTTGAACAAATTTAAAACTGTGTAAAAGGTTTGCTTAAAATGTTTTAAATAAAAAAAGTGTATAATATGGATGTGAAAAAGAATTCTTTAATTTATAAAGTTTAAAATTAGAAATGTATATTCTATAAATGTATCTAATTATCTCTTAAATTACATATTGTTACACATATTAATTAAAATAAAGCATACCTCATTATATTTTCTGTACCTATGATGTTTGCAAATTCAAAAACTCTAGATATGATATAATTTCTTTTTAATAACCAATTTCTGTTGTTAACTGCTGAAAATTTTACAAAGGTCTTAGAATCATTTTCTCAGAAATCTATTTTGAAATTTGGGAAATTTAAGTGCATGAATTCGCACATGTTTCTTTGATGTTACGTTTCTCAAAATGTATGTTTTGAACTTACTTGATTATTTTATATACTCACTCAATTACGAAGTAAAAACTACTTTTTTTTTTTCATGTACCACCTGTCAGCTATTTTACCTAATTGCTCAATTATGAACTAAAAGAATTTTTCCGCATATACCAGCTGATATTAAGTATCAACAACATTATTAAATTTTTATAATATAAATATTAAATTGTAGATAATGTACAACTTTTCATAAAATGTACACAAATTAATTAGCTAAAGGCAAATTTTATAGCAAGTTCTTTCATACACAGAACCAATTATGATACATACCAATTTGGCATAAGAGCATTATCTTTTCCTCGAAACATAATTCCAATATTTGTAGCATGTTCTATTGAGGAGTAAAAATCAGTATAATCACCTACGAAACAAAAACTTAGTTCAGTTCATAGTTTTTACTAATTATGAGCTTAAACAGATATAAAAGAATTATCAAAATTACAGCCTGAATGTAAATTCATACAGATTTATCACAACATGTAACTCATACTGTGCAATAAGAGGAGAGCAATGTTATTTTCTACTGAAGAACTTTCAAATAACTACACAACTCATAATTTATTGCACTAACACACTAACAAGGATGTTTTGTAATACATCTTATCTTACTTTTGTAACCACTTTCAATGATTTCAAGTGTCTTAAATATAAAAAAAAAAAAAAAAAAAAAAAAAAAAAAAAAAAACTCCTTATTAAACCAAATATACAACAATGTCACACCCAAAAGTGTTTTAAAGAAAAGAGGATTCACAATTATAAAATGGCCTAAATAACATACTTGAGGTAAAACTAAGTAAATATGTTTTCTTTAAATATAAAGGTTAATAGAAACATAATTAAATTTTAAAAAAAAAAAAGTTTTTAAAGGAATTGAAGTAAGAAATTCACAGCAAGTTCAGAATCACATTTTTATTTAAAAGTTCTTAATATATAGTTAACAGTTTGATATGTTAAGTTAACAGTTAATAAGTATATTGAAACCAGTATTTCTTGAAACATCTTTTAAAAGATTTAGTTTTGTAAGATTATTAAAAGATTTAGTATATTTAAAAAAAGGGGGAGAAAGGATGTTTAATAATTTTCAATCATATTTATAATTAACGAAATTTTAGTCGAGTATCATTTCAATATTGAGTTTACTTACCAATTTTACAAGGTAAATGCATGATGGCATTTTCTTGCAAAATGAAGGCTCTGAAAAGATATAATACTGAATTAAAAAAATAATATTGTACATCAGAGTAGATATATTGGTTTGTTGATGAAATGGCAAATTTAACTCATCTTTCTGTTTGCCTGTAATAAAATATTAGAAGAGAAAATAAATGTATAAAAATATTTAATCTCATTTACTTTTCTTATTACACTAAAAATGTATATTGTCTTCATGTGATATTTTACCTGAATGAAGATAGTTAAGGAATTAATCCAGATTTTAAATCTTGAATATTTTAATGTATTCCTCATTTAAATATGTTTTAGGAGTTCAAAAAAAATTTTTTAATCTTAAAGTAATGTTTAAACCTGTAAGTTGTATGATTATGTTATATATTAGATTACTGCAATGTGTGGCCCAGATGAAGCATGTTCATTTGTGTTGTTCAAATGTCAGTGCAGTAAGAATAAGTTAAATTTTCAATTATTTCCCTTTAAATATTGAAATTTGCACAAAAATTAATTTAAAGCATTTTATTAAATCTATTCTGAATCATTTGATCATCATACTCATATTTAAGGTATCCTGCAAGTGCCAGTTACAAAGGGATTCTAAGGTGCCTCAAAATATGTGGATCTCTCATCTTATCATAATGTATTTTATGACCAGTGGCCCACAGAAGTGTAAGTGAGATAGATTATCTAAAGTAAAAGTCTGCCACTATTGAACATCATGTAACTTTCTCTATTGCTAATATAAACTTTCAAAAAAGTCTCTAAGTCAAATAAAGCTACAAAGTAAATATGAAAGATGGATGTCATAAATATGAAAAAATTCGGAATTTTAAAAATATGAAAATGCTTCTTATTAAAATTAAAGATAGTTGGAGTTGTAGTAATAAAGAAAAAAATTTTTAATTTGAACTTTTTAGAAACAGTGATAATAAAAACTGAAAATGAGTATAGCTGCAAATGCTAAATAAAAAAAATGCAGTATAGCTGTCCCACAGAACTAAAATAATTTGACTATCACTAGTGGTTTCCTTACTTTGAATATTTATTTTACTGAAGACATTTGATTTTATTCCCTTCTTATATAATTTCCATTTTATTATTTTTATATATGGTTCACCATCTTATTCAATGTTTTACTTCAAAACAACATCTTACCGCCTTTTTACACCTTGATACACAATTTAGCTGTATTATATGATAAAGCTTATAGAATTCAAATTTCTTGATTTTAATGCTACACATAATATATATCACAGATTGAAAGAAATCCAAATACATGTTTGAAATTTGTAACTTGTGTTAAAATCAACAAACTTTATGAAGCATAAATTTACTTTGAACGTAAACTTGAATTATCTCTTAAAAGAGGATTATCTGCTGCGAGTATACGTTGCAGAGTCTTTCGAGCTTCCTGCCAGCAATCTTTTCCCAAAGACATGAAGCAGTTCAGATACGGCTACAAAATAAAAAATAACACTACATAATGATGGAAGGCAGACACTCCCATTCTTAATATTTTTTATTTCAAACATTTCTAAAATTATATTGAATTTTCAGGTAACTAAATTTATTTAAAATCATAATAAAAATTAAAATCTACATTAATTTTTTTGTAACTCTACCTCCTCAAAAACATATTGGTGATTTTTCAAAAGAGGACCATCAAAAAGATGCTTTATTATAGACAGATCTAAAATATATTCTCCAATTGCAACTCCAGGTCGAGGCTTTTTCTAAAACAAAGTTCAAAATAAAAAGCTCCTATGAGTATACTGCAATAAAATTTAAAATCAGCACAATCAGCAATTTAAAATCTAAAAAAGTTTAATTAAATTTATTCAAATTAATAAATTTTTAATACAGAAGCTGAAAAGACATTGACTTACATCTCCAGGAGGGCTAAATATGCCATAAGGCAAATTTTGATATGAAAAATGACAATTTTGAGGGACAGCAATAAAAGACATTGCTATTTAATTTTACCAGCCCTAGCTCCGTAAGCCTACAGAACTAACCGTTACTTCTGAACTGTAGAGTTTTAGGTCATCATCCTTGAACTTCTCCATCAGCTAATCTTATCTTGAGATAAAGGCAGATTTACTGCTCTTAGGACATGCATAAAATTTTAAGTATGAACATCATCACTAAAGTTTAGTATCAGTTCAACAGCACTGTCGCCATCTGGTGAGAAACCCATTAAACAAATTGTACGCATTTCAGTGTAAGAGCCACTGATGAAACATTGGTTTAAAGAAAAAAATTATCGTATTTTTAATATTATGCATCATTTTTTGTAGTTACAACTATTCGGTTCTTTAAAATATTTAATAGCGATAGTTTACGTGATTTGAAATTTATTGGGTATAATTTATGAAATTTAATCAGAGTTATAGGAGCTACGATACATTTGAAATTTATAAAATAATATATTATTCGCTTAAAAAAAAATTAAATGTAATTTTGTTTGGACATTGAACAAAATACTAGCTGTTAATCTTGTCAAGGCCAACTTATAGGACAATATAAGTTGTCTTTGATCTTGTTCGTTTGAATAATATCAGTTACACTAGAGGGCAGCACCTATCAGTATCAAATATGAATTTTAATTCCCCTTCTATTTTTTTTTAATAGTTTCCACCTGTTGTGCCGCTGATACTCCGTGGCTCTCGTCATCTGTTGCTTCACGAATGTTGGTAGCAGTGTTTTCGAAATTGAGCGTTTCTATTACACATCTTGGTAAATACTTATTAAAATGATGCATTTATGGCAAGTGCAATTTGAATTTTACGTGAACTTGAATTATTAAAGTACATAATTTATTTCTAATACATTATTACGCCTTCCTGCTGTGAAATCTGCTACCGGATGTAAGTACAAATCACTTTCTTTTTAGTATTTAGTGCTTGTATGTAATCAGCTTAATTTCCTGCCATATTTGTCTGACGAATTAATGATAATGGTTGGATCGCTTCCAGCCAAGATTTTAGTTTTATAACAATATTCTCATATTAAAATTATGGTTTTAATTGCGATGTATTGTCATCTGGTTTCCCAGTTCAATTTTAAAATTTAAGAGAATTTGAACTAACATATGTAAAAGGAGTTACTATTTTATTATGTTTTAAAATAATAATCAGTTATTGTAATTCTATATGAATCTATTTAACTGAAGGATTTTCAGCTTTCATGCTTGCAATGTAACAGTAAATTAAACTTTTTAACACATATTTTCCTTTATTTTCTCATAGTTCTAGTTATGAGCAATGTGAATAGCAGTGTTACACCAGATTATGATTACCTGATCAAGTTTTTAGCACTTGGTGATTCAGGAGTTGGCAAAACTAGTGTATTGTGCCAATACACTAGTGGAGTCTTTAACAAGAAGTTTATATCAACCGTTGGAATTGACTTCAGCGAAAAAAGAGTTGTAAGTGAAGTTTCTTTTTTTTTTTTTTTTTTTTTTTTTTGGGGGGGGGGGTAAATCATGGGTACTTGATATAAGTGATCATTACCAGCAATTGAGATTTTAAAAATTAGTTGTGTATTGTTTGCTCTTGAAAGGTTTGTTTCCAAAGTTAAGTAATATCAGAAGTTATTGAAATCTGTTAATGTGTATTATCAATAAAAAAAGCTATTTCTTTTTTGGCAATATAATCGTTATTGCTAACACATTTAATAAATTCTTAGTTCTGAAAATGTTTGTAAGTATCATAGCATCTTTTTAATTGCAGTAAGACAGGTGGGTCAAAAATAAAATTAATTTACCAGATGTTTGACTTCTTAAATAGTGATTTCAAAATTTTGGTAGGTTATGTTCATTTTCTGACTTTATAGCAAAAAATTAAATTTCATTGCAAAATAAAAAACACTGCTTCTTTCAGATCTTTCATGGATGGTCTACCTATTTTATCAGTAAAGTTTCTTATCCTTAAAAATAACATTAAAGCATATCTAGAAATCTCTGTCATAAGTCTGAAAGAATTTAAATATACATTAAAATAATTTTTAATTGTGTGGAATGTAATTTATTTAGCTTTGGTAGTTTGAGTTCTTAAATTTATTAAGCAGCATCAAAGTAAATGAGAAAACTTCTGGGTGCTTTTTAGAAAATAATAGGAGAATATGCAAAATATTTCTGTAATCTTCTTTCTTTGTTCTTATTAACAGCTGTGTATCTGAATCATATGTCAAAGGCAGAAATTAATTTAAATCAAGTGTCTCGGAATAGTAGTAAATATAAAAAAAAAAAGAAGCCTGGACTTTTGATCAGTTATTTACCCTAGATATATTCTGATGAGCAAAATGCTATATTGGATAATTTTGATCTTTCTGTTATTCAGATTCTTGTAAATAATGCTAATAAAAGCATTGTAGTGCTTGTGAACTTACTCTCTGTGACGATGGAAATAATTAAGTTTTCTTAGAAAACTGATACTCTCAGGAAATTTCTTTGTAAAACAGGTTTTCGACTCAAATTCTGCCAAAACCATCACAAAATTTTGATTGAAAAATCCAAACAATATGATGTGGAAATTTTTATATTAAAGAGAAGTAAGGGACAAGGTCAAAATAACATATAATATATAATCTATTTAGATGAAACATGGATAATTAGCAAGCATGTGACATTTCATTTGAGTTAAGCTAACATTTAAAAGTTTAATTCAGTTTTTTCCTTTATGCCTTATTTCATCATGCAGTTGCTCATTCCAGAGATTTATGCAGATTTGATTGAATAGCTGTGTAGTATAAATTGAGAAAAAGAATTGTATCCATAGGATTTATGACAGATAGATGTTTGCCTGTGTAAATGGCTACTGCAGTTTCCTTGTGCCCAGAAAATGTTAGTAAAATGGGTTATCAGTAAGAAATATGATTTAAGTTGGCTGACACAAATTATGGTGGCCTTAATAAGAAATATTTATATTGTGTCCAATTGAATTGTATGTTTTAACTATTTGCTGCAAAGGACATATATTTTATTTTGAATTATTTTAAATTAACAAAATGTGAGATAGAAAATAAAATTAAGTTGAAGTTTTACTTGCCTGTGGGTTTCTATTTTCACAGTTAATTCATGTCATAGTTTTAAGGACCTCTTAAGTTGTGATGATCTTTTATTTAATAAGTGGTAGCAAGATGAAGCTTGGTGCTTTCCTGGAATAGACAGCTGGATCAGAAAAACAAGAATAAATTAAACAAGCATAATTCATTTATGTATTACAGGCCCACTTGGAACTCAGTCATTACTAATACCGAAAACAGGTAATTCAATCCAAATTGTAGCCCTGGTGAATGGGTTGGCTGCATTAGCACATCTGAGGTTTTTCCCATTCGTAACATGGATACAAGCTAGTTTCTCTCAGAAGTCCTCCGTGAAAGCACCTCTCCTACCTGGCAGATAACTCATATGCTCATGTTCAAATAACGATTCATATCATATATATAAATGATTAAAAATAAAAAAATAGTTAAAAGTGTACAAAAGCAAAATTTAGTTTCTTGCACATATTAAAAAAGATGAAGAGGAGGAAGAAAATCAAAAAGTAAAATTAATTTTTTTAAAGAACATGAAGAATATTAAAAAGGAAAAAAATTGAATGTGATAAAAAAAAAGTAATTAAGTCATTGAAAAATTTATGTATTTGTGTAATGTAAAATTCTAGTAAGGTATTGATTTGAAATATATTATATTAATAATTATGTTGAAAGGTTTTAAACCTCTTACCATAGTCTATAAAAATGAAAGAGCAGTTGTATTAAATTATATTAATAAAGTTAGATATTTAAAGTAAAAGAGACTGATAAAAATGTTCCAGTATATCTGAAGCAGGAGAGCAAGTAAGTTGCTAATGCTTATAATATGGTAGCATATCCCACCAAAGATAATGTAGTATTTGTTATGCTTTACCTAAATTAAGATGCTGGGATTATCTTGTAAGGTTTTGTACTGTATAAATCTCACTTTTTATCCTTTAAACCCTATTTAGACTGACAAGTAAGTTATCACTCTTGTCTGCAAAAACAGTACATTAAGTTCATAAAGTATGTCATTTCAATTAAATGAACATCATTTAGGTACATATAGAAATGTAATTTTTTTATATTCATTTCTTATTTTTAAATCTATCATTTTTATACCTGGCATATAACACATATCTGTAAATTGTGATCTTATTTTTTGTATTAAAAGTGCATGATATACGCCGGAAAATATGGTAAATGCAGATTCTGATGCATAAAGGTGTCACTTCTTTTAGGAGGCTAATAATCCTCACGAGATTTGCAATAAATATATTAATCAGTCTTTGTACAAAAATAGCACTTAAATCTACAAAAAGGATTTTTTTTTTTTGGGGGGGGGCTCCAATTTCAAGATTTTTTGAAAGGAAAACCTAATGATAAAAACATTTGCATATTAAACTTTCAAAAGCTGTTGAAATTCCAAAATGGCTAACTATTTGTTTGATGCAAAATGGATATGAGTTTTCCCAGTGAGAACAGATTTTTATGATTGAATGTATTCTTATGAAACACAATTCCACATTGCATTCTTATGAAACATTTGTTTAAGCATTTAAAGAGACCTTCAACAATGTTAGTAAACTTAAAAATGTGGTAATTTTCAAGAAACTGGAAGCATTCACCATGGGAAATGAAGTAGTTGCTTTTCTCTTCTGATATCAGACAAAATGGTCAAAGTCAAAAATAAAATGTTGCAGTCACTAGCAAAGTGTGTGAGAAAACTGGCGTTGCAGTCAAATTTATCGTAAGGAAATATCATTTCTTATGCATTTCCAGTTTTTCAAAATCAGATAACTAAGTGCAAGGTTCACAAACATTTGGGAAGATTCAATTACATTTATGTAAAAGTGAGCTGTAAAGTAATATTTGATCATAAAGGTTCATTCTATGAAAAACTGCTGCATGAAACAGTGGGTTTTAAAAGCTAAAAGGTATAAAATGCAACTGAAATTTCAGTGGTAAATTACTTGTAACATTCTAAAAGTGCCATCCATTGAAACAATTTGCCATTAATATCATTTTGGAATTTCCAGAGTTTTTGAAAGTGCATAATTTTTTAAACAACAGGCATTTTGAATGTAAATCTAGGAGAGAAATGCTATGTTAATTTAATAATATATAACATAATAATAATAATTATTTACAATAGCTAAACCATTCAGTGCATAGCTGTTATAAATTATTTACCCACCTACTCCAAGATCCTTAACAAAAACAAAGGAAAAGCTTTGAAATAATCTTCTTTCTGTTTTTTTTTTTTTTTTCAAAATTATGCAGGCTATAATTCATATTTTAAAAAATATATATAATATTTTAGAATTTAAATTTCTAAATAAATTAGAAGAAAATTCTTTATTTAACCTTCCAGCACGTGCACTATGCACAAAATTTACGACAAATTTGGTTTTTATTGTCCACTTCTCGCATATCGCAGCTAAGACAGCTGAATGTCATTTTTATTCCTCCTTTCAGAAATTTATATGACTTTTTTTGTTTTTTTACTGGGCTTTTGCGCTACGTAGCAGCTTCTCGACGCACGTGGTCGTGGGTGAAATTTCGGAAAGTATTTTTTATGTTAAATATTTTGTGTTATTAATTGACGTGTATTATTTTAATTTGTATAAATTCGACTCTATAATTTCTATATTGGTTTTCATAGCAAGAAAATATGTGCTCGCATTCTTCAAAAATTATCTGATGAAGAAAAAGAAGGCAAGGGAACCTTTGGATGCAAGAATAATAGCGATCTGAGTGAGGAAAATATAGAGATAAATAAATATCAGCAGTAAATCTGAACAATATATTTCAGATGATGATAGTAATAATGATATAGGAAAATGGAAGGATGATGATATATTCTACGTTAGTAAGTATAAATCTTCTGAGTGGCAAAAGCAGAAGTATGCAAACTGCTAAAAAACTAATAAGATGAATATTGTGAGCGTTACATGGCCTAAAATACCATGCTAAGGATATAAAGGATGAAATAGGAACATTTTTTAAAATAGTTGATATAAATACGCTTGATGAAATTTTGAAATGTACAAATAAATGTATAATTTTACTAAAAGGCAAAATACTCAAGAGATAGCGAATGCACTGTTACCTGAGTGGAAATGATGGCATACTCTGGATTGTTATATATCATAGGAATAAAAAAAGGACACCATGTAAATAGAAAAGTATTGTTCTTAAGTGATGGCACTGAAATTGAAATAACAAGAGCTGTGATGAGCTACAAGAGATTTTTATTTCTGACAAGTTGTCTTCAATTCGATGATAAATCAGCAGGACAGGACAGATGACTATTAAAACTATCTTGGATTTTAAAATATAATTATTAAATAATAAATTTTTAAATTTCTATAATAGAATACATCATTACTTTTCCACCTGACTAATATAAGCATTTAAAAATAATTTACTATCATCTGAATGTGATATCATTTGTATTTTGCAATAATAAGGTTAATATTTTATGCTTTAACAAATTCATTATCAATATTCACTCATTTCTGTCATTTTTCGGCCCAAAACGGTAAAATAAGAGATGTCGTAAAAAATACCACGTGCGCGATTATGTAAAATTGCCAAGCGCACATGCTGGAAGGTTAAAAATTCTGTATTAGATTTGATGTTTTTAAGAAGGCCTTCTTTTATTTTCTTGATGTAAAAATGTTTATTTTTGTACAGCTTTATGTTACTTGCAAAAAAATAAAGACAGATGTCTTAATACTATTTTATATTAAATATTTTAATGAGGTTAAATAATACAGCTCAATATTATTTCATCTGAATTTTTTTAATTTCTTTTCTAGGTATATCGTTCACAGCATTCTGAAGGTATTGCTGGAAGAAGTCAAAGAGTTCATCTTCAGTTATGGGACACTGCTGGACAAGAAAGGTACAAATGAAATTTTGTGTACCTTGCAATTTTTGTCTAGTCAAAAAGTGTGAGCCCCTTCCTATTTAATTTCTGTTTTTCCTGGTCTCAATTTTTTTTAATTATAAACTCCTACATTTTACATACTATATCATATTATACTTAATACATGATGAGCAGTTTTGTTTTATGAGCTATTTTACATTTTAGGTTGTGAATAATTTTAATCTTTTTCAATTGATTTTCTGTTTTATGGCAGTATGAGTTTTCCCTCTTTTTTCTTTAAAATTTATGAAATAAATTGATAAATGTGAAATACATTCTCATTTAATGCTATTGAATTAGAGTTTCATGAAACAATAAATGTATACACCATGTTCCCTGTTTTTAATGTGATAGTAATTGAATGTTATCAAAAGATATCCTGTTTATTTGTAAATAGAAACAAGGAATTCTTCATTTATTGTAATTAGCTTGCTGAATAGTGTAATCAAATTATTAAAGAATTTTTTTATTGCCATCAAAGGTGTAATGAAGTTAGCAATTTTTAATGAAGAGATTTTAAGATTGACAATTGGATGGCACAACATAAATATCTTAATGAAGCATACTGAAGATTTATTTCTTACAAATAAATACAGTGAGTAAATACAGTGAGTGTCTTTTTCCAGTGAAGGTGTTAGGAGATTATTAGACTTGTTAAAGGATATTTCCCTGACAAAGCTGCCAACTTTTTCATTTTTTCTTGGAAGACTCGCAGTTTTTGCTCACATCTTGTAGTCTTCTGGCAGATCACCATATCTCCCAGTTTTAATTTTTAACCTTAATTAAAAGCTTTTACTAAGGAAAATATTTCTCAGTAATAATAATAAATGAAATTATTCAGTTAATGAAACTTAAATTATGCAAATTATACTTCCTGGCCCATAGTGATTTTTGGTATGATTTTTCTTATTAAATTTTATTTAATCTGAATCATTGTAATTTATTGTAGACATTTGTAGCACATTTTCTGAAAATTCACCCAATGTTAAATCATTTAAAATTTCTATTTAATTTCACTTTGTTTCACTTATTTTTGTTTTATGAATGGTTCAATACTATGTACATCCACATGATAGTATTATTTATTGATTTTATTTTCATTGCTGTTAAAAGTACTTGGATATATAAAAATTTCCTTTGCTATTCAGAATTTTCGCAGTGTAAAAGGGTAAGAAAATTACGAAATCAAATTAGCCAAACAGCATAAAATTTAGACTTTCTAATAAAATATTAATATATTTTACAGCAGAATCACATTATAAATGATGCAGTAAGCTAAATCATACATTATAAATTAAATTAAAGTCAGTTTGGAATTCTTTTGAAGTGGCATCATCACTGTGCAGCATGAAAACCTCCCAGTTTTCACAGAAGAACCTCCCCTTTTTTTAAATATTTATAGGTTGGCAGGTATGCCAGCCCTTCATAACATGGAATGCAACTGCAATTAGCAAATTTGAAAGCTAAATAAAAAAATTACTAGTTTGTTGTACTGCATCTTCTGAATGCATGTCTTGGAACTGAATCTCAGAAATAAAGAACTGTTTAAACATAATAACTTTTAAGTAAATGGTCAAACAGAGAAACTGAAGCAAGACATTGATGTCTCTGCAAGTATTGTGGATTGTTTGACTTTTAGAACTTTTCACAGTTCATATTAGTTTCAGTATATAGTGGTTATTGATAAAAACATTTAAATTAAAAGTGCTATTGCTGTATGGAGGTGTACTGTGTGGGGAAACTTTGTGGTGAAGATGAGAAAGAAATTAATCAGGAATTTCCTATTATATAAAGGAAGTATATAGTATATTAAAATTAAATGCAAAACACTGTGTAGAACATTTGGAGACAATCCAGTATTAATTTTGCTCTAAAATATTGATGTTGCACAATTCTAGATGAGATAGTTTTAAAAAAATAGCTGCAAAACTATGTGTTGAGTTAAAATTACGTTTATGTAACACTGCAATTCTTTTGTATGTGAAATATTTATTATTATTATTATTATTATTATTATTATTATTAATATTATTATTATTATTATTTTAAAGGTTTAGAAGCCTTACAACTGCATTTTATCGAGATGCCATGGGTTTCATTGTTCTTTTTGATCTCACAAATGAACAATCATTTCTTAACATTCGTAACTGGCTGGAGCAATTAAAGACTCATGCCTATTGTGACAATCCTGACATTGTAATTTGTGGAAATAAAGCAGACTTGGAAGATATGAGATTCATGAAAGAAGAGCAAATTAGAGAAGAAATAGATAAATATGGGTAAGACATGTTTTTTTCCCCTAATAAATAATTGCAAAGTATTGCTAGTCAAATTAACAAGTAAATAAATTTTACTTGTCATTTATCTTATACATCTTTTATCTGCAGTAAATTAAATTAAAACTTTTTTTTTCATTTTTTCATTTAGGGGTTTGTATTATTTATAAAAAATTACATGTAAAAGAATTAGAAACATGTGAAAGATAAACTGCTGTATGAGCTATAAGTTGTGCATGGCATAAAAGTATTAAATTTTTGCTGTTTTATAAATTATTTATTTATAAATTAAGTAATGAAGAATCTGCATAAATGTATGTATTGTGATAAAACAACTGTACCTAGAGCCATCAAATTTTGAATAACGTACGTCTTCACCTGAATATTGGCATCTGGAAGCCAGAATTTGGAATTTGTTTTATTATCTATTTCATATTTTATAAAGCATTTATGAGTTTTTGATTAAGAAACTTAATGATTTGAAAATGAGCAATGGCAACATTGTAGGGGAGGGAAAAGAAATTTAGCGCACGAGACTGTGTATCGGAAATTCTAAAGATATGCTCTTTCAAATATTTTGTGATATTGCTTTCGAACTGAATTTTACGGTTTAAGTGCAAAGAACATAATATTTAATAAATAAAGGTCACACAAAACTTTAAAAAACACCCCTTTGGGCATAATATAAAATCAGAAAGCTTTTATATTTTTTTTTAATTTATTTTGGGGGGGGGATTTCTTTAATGAAACTTCTAGCAAAGTGTTCATTATACTTATTATATAGTTAAGAATACAAATTTATATACATATTCATGCAGATTTAGATGCTTAATTTTCTTCAAGAGGTCAATTACTAATTTACCATGAAATTCTGTTTGGTTTTAAGATGAAATGATTAATCATCAAAATGAAGTAGCATTATTTTTTTTATTTATTGTCAAAAGTCTTAAGTATATATATAAGTTATCTTCAAAAGATCGTATGACATCAGTAAATTCATCATGATATACCTCCACAGATTTTGTGCAAACACATTCAAATTCGATGGAAAATACATACTTTTTATAAAGAAGAAGCTGTCAACACTTTACATCAAAATGGAATTTTGCCATTAGCATGGAACTTACAAAGCCATATTTGTAAATTTATCACATTTTTTCTTCCTAAGTATCATGGAAATGTTATATATCAGCGATACAGGATGACAAAAATTAAATTTAAATAAACACAGTATTTTCTGTTTTCATTTTAAGTGTCTCCCCTCCTCCTTCCCTTGCTTTATTTACTGTTTCTCTTTATTGAAATAGATCTTTTTTAGGTAAGAAAGAACAGTTTTAAATCTCTAGATTCTTGGTAATTTTGCATTTGTTTATAGGCTTCCTTATTTTGAAACAAGTGCAGTAACTGGTCAGAATGTCACTAAAGCATTTGATACATTGTTGGACATGGTCATGCTAAGAATACAGAAAACTGTTGATGGAAGTACACTACCTGGGCGAAGACGTGGAGCTCCTGGGATGCAGCTGGAAGAAAAGGGTTTTTGTTCTCAGCCAAAATCTTGTAGGTGCTGACATTGAAATCTAGTCAAAATGTTAAATTTGTGTACTGTTTTTTTTTTTTTTTTTTTTTTTTTTTTTTTTTTGTGTGGTTTATCATTTTTATTGTGTGTACAAGACTAGTATGCTTCATGTTTTTAAACTATTATGAAAGAAATATACAATCATATTCCAGATACACAGACATAATGATTATTTGTTTATATTTGATTACAATAAATGAACAGAAAAAAAAAAGATCTATATTTTTTATTGTGACCTTTTTACATATCTATATATTTTTAATACTGATAACAAAAACTGTGTATAAAGTTCAATGGTATAAATGTGCATTTAATAAACTTCTGATAAATTCTCATGAATAAGTTGCTCAAAATTTAAAAGCAAAATTGATATTTATGCATTTATTTAAATAGTGATTTTTTTTAGATTTTTAATTTTATCAAATTGTTTGTGTGTTTGTTCTTGAGAAAATAAATTTATAATCTCAAAAGTAATTATATGAAATTAAAATATATTAAGTACCTAACACTGTTAATAAATATTATATACTTACATTTTGAGTAATTGAAAATTTGTGTTAATAAAAAAATGTACTCTGAACTTAATCAGAGGGTTTTCCTGTATCTTGCAAAAGTTAAATAGTCCAAATTCTAACAGACACAAAGTGAATTATCACCATGCCTGAAAGTAAGTACAAACACTTGCAATGGTTTAAAATAAATGTTTTTATTTAAACTTTGAAAATAAATGCACTTTTTGTGCTAACTATGTCAACCAGAACTTGTGCCAATGGTGCTAAAGTAACAGTCAGATTCCAGTTTAAAACATAGTAGTCAAAGACTACACAATTAAATTTAAATCTAAGCTGGCTCAGAACTTCTAACCAGTGTATCAAATTAAAATATCGGCAGCAATAATGTTGTAGCCAAATAATGTTAAGCCAAATAATTTCAGAGCTGACCAAAATAACGTAATGTGCCAGCAAAAGGCAGAAACACTTTCTGTCTTACAGTCTAAAAATCTTAGCTTAAATACTATCTAATTGATTTGCATTTTGGTTACGAAACAAAAAAAGAGAAGTTATAATAAAGGCTGAAATCATAAATTACTTGTTAATTTAAATAATAATAACCATACATAATTCCATCAATAGAAAATTTCAGATTATTGGACTTTGAGTAATCAAAATTCTATCAATAATGCCATTCAATGAATGATATTTTTAAACTTACCACAGAATTACCATGTTCTAAAAATCTAAAAATACTCGTTTTATAAAAACTATGTTATAAAATTGGATATATGATCTGTAATTTAGTAATGTTAAAATTTACAGTTTAAATTTTTAAAGGAATAATTTATAAAAATATGAATTATTAAATATTGCACAATAAAAATTTATTTATCTTTTATTTTAATCTTTCATTGTGCATAGATTTTATTTTAAATCTGCTGTTTTAGTAAAATAATTTTGTAAATTTTATTTTTGATTTTTAAAACATGGATAGAACTTGTGCTTGTTTTTTCTTTTGAAACAATTCTTTGAAGTTTGTATTTAATTTTTCAGTAAAACCAGTTATTTATATGACTTTCAGTATTGAGTATCATCTGAATTTTTCACATTATGTAGTGCAAAAAATATGCATAATGTTTATATTACATTTAATCATATACCATATCCAATAATATAGTAATTAATGAATTTTTGAAAATAACCCTAATCTGAATAGAAATTTAAACTAGCAATAGAAATAATATCAATAGCAATCGATGTCACTTCATAAAATTAACAAAAAATAATCCTTACTTATTCAATAGGAATTAAAATATTAAACAGCTCTTTAAAACTGTTTGGAAATTGCATGCTTGGTGTAAAAAAGTTTGTTCATTTTCCATTTGCATACTTTTAAATTTTAATGTAGTACCAGCCAGTTTACTTTTATTTTCTTACATGTTAAATTTTGTAGCCATAATTTATTGCATTGTTTCGGTAACTATTTTTGTCTTAATTGTATGATAATGAGATATGAATAAAATTCCAGACAGTTTTGTTAACATAGTTAAACCAAATTATAATTAAAAAAAATAACTTTTAAGCAGGCTTATGTTTGCATAATTATACATGGAGTATAAAAGATCACAGGCATAGCACAACTTAACCCTTCAGCACACGTGCATAACTGCGCTACGTTAGTACATGCATGCGTGGGACAAATTTTACCCCAGTGGTTGTTTTTCGGAGTTCACTCCCCAATGTATAAATAAATGCATTTTCTTTGTTTTAAATGAATTTATAAATGAATAATAGCTTTTTGAATTTTGCTAAACCTTTTTTCCAGTTTTAATTCGAGATAATCTTACTTTAAGTTATACAAACATTTCCATACTGGTTACCTAAACTAAGCCATAAAAATCGAAATTTATGCAAAATTATTAACTTATATAAGATACATATGTGATTTCTTATATTAGAAAAATCAGTTTTCATTATGTACATGTTTTTTAAGCATAAGTGTTTATTATAAAGAGTGTTTTGGTAAAGCACTAGAGGAATATGAAAAGGCTGCATTCTTACTAGTTTTTTCCCTTAAAACTCAATATAATGTCATACAATTATTCATATCAAAGAATAGATTCTAAATACGAATATTAAAAAATATAAATAACACATAGGTTTCCGTTTTAATTATTTAAATAATCTCATTTTGAACAATCCTCACATAGTGTGACAACATATTTTTAAGAAACATTTCTTAGGGTGAAAGTCTGCGACATCTTCTATTCCTGCCAACCTTTTTACTCCAATTTTGAGTTCTTTTGAGAGAGATAGAATTGCAGCCTTTTTTAGGACATGCTCTTTTACAAGCTCTAATTCTAAATCTTTGAGAATAGCTCTTTGGTTCATATTCACTTGGTCGTTATTTGATCGATGAATAATAAAAGCATTTATACCTGCAATGTTCATTAGTCCGAAAAATACCGTTAGAGGCCAGCGGCAGCATTTTCTTGAAACAGACTAAGTTCCACGTAACTCATCAACAGTATAAACATACACCTTGTAGAGTTGCAAAACGTTATCATTTCGAGCTTGAGCTGCTCTTTAGACAACGGATCGATTTGATTATCCTCATGCATGGACAAGAAACGATTTACTCTTTTTTGGAACATATGAAGAAAGAGTTAATTCTTTACCTCTAAACCCAAAATGCGAAGAGAACAGAAGCCTGTTTTATTTGGCAGAAATTCTTCTGGAATTTCAGGCTTATCTTTTCGAGGTGTCCCAAATCATGTCAATTTGTGCTTTTTCAATAATTCATTGGCCAAGGGAATGCTCATGTACCAATTGCCCATAGTTATATTTCCTTCAGTGCCACTTATGGGTGCAATAGTCTTTGTACAACATCCAATGCCACATTTCATTGTCTATATAGTCCGACAGGCTGCTGACCTGCATAAATTTCTAGGTTCTATGTGTAAAATGTGTGAGAACCACACAAAGCAAAAGTTTTTATTTCATCTCTTGAGAGCTTACTTTTTATATATTGCCTGAATTGACACCTTTCTTGAAAGGATTCGAATGTTTTGTCTATAGTACAATATTCAGATAAAGAATATATTTTTAATATGTTTTTGACAAATATTTCAAAAAATTTCTAACAAGTGCAAGTCTAGCTGTCATCTTTCGGTCTGCTCATAAATTTATGTCATCAAACCTAAGACACCTCAACAGAAAGTGGAATCGGTTGATAGACATTGTTATTTGAAAAACAGTTATTCCACTTCTGTCAGCTGACCACAAATCTTTGTTTTGAAAAGTGCTGCTCTCAGCACTCCAGTGTAATATAATAGGATAAACAACACCTTCAATTCAGCTACATTTGTCTCTTGTGCATCACGTTCTCTGGAGAATTTGTTTCTTATTGATGAAATGTAAATGTTTGTTGATTTCACTTACTCTTCCATTATTTCTTCATAAAAAATTTTCAATAAACATTCAGTTGGATTTTTCAAATTTCTAAAGCTTTTCCTGACACCAGGTAGATGTGTTACTATATTGTGCGGCCGTGTCCGAACATTTTTTGAGGGTAATCTTTTACTTCAAATTGTTCCATCTTTTCAAACGTAAAAAACATCCGCTGTCAAAGAAGATATGCTCCCTAAATCATGTGAATCATCGTATTACTGGGTCAGAATCAGTTTCGGGAGCACTTTCAGAAATATTATCGCACTCAGAATCGGAATCTTTCATTTTGCTATGAGTTTCAACACTAGCGAGAAGAATCTGCAATCGTTACTGTTCTCGCTCGTACGCGCTCTTCTCAATGAATGTCTCTCTAGAAGTGAAACGTTAGTACACGAGCAGGGTAGTTATAATCCCATTGCACATTCCTTCCCCGAAAACACAAAATCCCAAGGACACGAGAAAAATTCCTCTGGACGACCCCTTCCTAACCTTGATCTTGAAAGGTACATAAAGTACTAGAAAGGTCACGTACGACCTTCCCTTATTTTCTAAGAAAAGACTACACGTGGGGTGGATTTTAACCCAGCGCGTGTGCTGACGGGTTAATATACAAAGTAAATCTGAGGCCAACAATCTTAATATTTAAAAGTTTATAATATTATACTAAAATTCAGATAGTAGAAATCTATTTTCATTTGTTATGAATCAACCATATATAAGCTGGATTTTCAATACAATTTTTTTTTCATACAGCTATTATTTGTAATTATTCTGATATAATTTGTGCAAAAATGAAATGATTACTCTATCAAACATTTTATTGTTTCTTATTGAAAAATATCTGTCCCAAATAGAATATTGTTGCATAAGGATTTTCATAAATAAATTTCCATCTGAAAGCTGTAATGCCTCAAAGGTTCATTATATTTAAAATAACTTACTACCAGGATTAGACCTTTTATCTCATTCCCCAATCAAATTAAAATTCAGATAATGTTAATTAAATTCAGGTAATGTGATTACTTTCATGCATTCACTTAAGTATAGAAAATTACCTCAGAGATTTGTGCTGGCTGAAGAGAAAAAGATACTCTTTAGGGTGTAAATTTATTATATGTTGCATAGAAAGGGCCATTAAAATCCTCATCATGTAACCGTATGACTAAAAAAAATTGTTCACATGATAGTTTTCCAGATGATTATGGGTGAAAAAATTGCTTTGGGAGATTTGGCAGTTTTTCATCTTAAAGTCTCATCTGCTATTTATTTTCAACACCCTGGCATTATATTAACTTGTGCAATGAGATCTCTCTTTCTTTCTCTTTTTTTTTTTCAGAAGCTATCTAAATGTTTTTAGTTAAAAGGGGCAATTGAATTGGGTAAATGTCTTGTATTGTTTCTGCAGTACCCTTTAATAGGAGAAACAGTATTGTTTTGTAATCTTCTTTAGATGTATTAAAGTTGCAGTGCTGAAAAACTCTTCAACTGAGTACAATTCTATGTAGTATTTAATTAAATGTGCATTACACATTCTAAATTGTACGTTCTTTGTACAATTAATACCATACTAATCACAGGGTTCAATCATATCATTTACATACAATTATCCTGGGCATGGGACTTGTAGAATGACCTCACTACCTAATGGAAATTTTTGATAATATAAGGCAATGATAGGTTGGAAAGCTGATAGTGTGTAGAATTAGTATATAGAAAGCTAATTTACTAATATTATTAGAACTGTTTCTAAATTATTAAATATAAGTTCATTCCCCCCCCCTGACAAATTTTTTTTTTTGAAAAATCTTTATTTAATCTAAGCCTTTAAATCTTTGTTTTCTTATAAATAATGTTTAAGTTAAAGAAGCAACACAAACTATGTTTTTTATTAATCAAATGTTTATGATAGTAAAAAAATGAAAATCATAAAAACCACAATGTTTTAAACAAATTTTCCATGCAGTGTATGTCATTTAATTTGGTTTATAAATGTATTTATATAAATAATTTACAATAAATATATCTCAAAATAGATATCCTTATAGTGAGTTAATATTAAGTTAGAATGTAGTATAATGTGTGTTGGAAAAGAACTAAATATTCTTGTTAAAGCTTGCATTTGTTATCCTCAATTCCAGATGTGGAGATTACACAAGTCATTCAATTTCTGCATTATTGAATAACTTGCATGGAAGGAGTTTTTCTTCCCCTCAAGAAAGGAAAAAAAAAAAAAAAAAAAAAAAAAAAAACCTCCACTCCAAAACATTTTTACACTGAAAGCCCATTATTATGCATTGAAGGGCAAACCACGTGTAAAGAAGAAAAAAAAAATAATAATAATGCTACCAGTAAATATTATGCATTGAAGGGCAAACCATGTGTAAAGAAGAAAAAAATAATAATAA